GTGATGGTTGCACTCTGCAAATATACTAAAAATCATTGATTTGTATACTTTCACTGGGTGACTTGTATGGTACGTGAATTATATCTCAATAAAACTGTAAGAAAAAACAAAACAAAACAGAGTTCAGCACTCTTTCCTTGGATAAAAGCCATAAAAAAAAAAAAAAGAAAATTTGGCTGATTTAGCAAAACAAGGTTATTTGGCCTTTAGTCCCCTTCCAGACACTGTTGCTTTTAGTTCATTTACAATTTTATCTGCTTATCCCATGTGATATGTAATCAGAGCTCAGAGCCTCAATGGGAAGTCCATGACAGTTCTTTTAAACAAACTTCAAAAACAGCTTAATAACATTATCTGATACTGTATTAAAGCACTGCTTTGATGCCATTTTATGATCTTAAGCTCTTGTTTTCCATTTTGAAATCACAGAAGGGCTTATACAGATAACGTAATTTCACTTTAGTAAACTACTTTTTTCATTTAAAAAAAAAGTCCGTTGTATTTGGGGCAAAGCAGGCAGCATTTTTAGGTGTTTTAAAGTTGCTATGTAATCTACTGCAGTTCTACAGGGATTTAAACCCAGAAAATGCAGTCCTAACATAAGAGCAGCACTTCTATAAAGCCAAGTTTGATTTAAATTAAATGAGCTTTTTAAAGACCAGCCCAATTGGTCACTCATGAACTGTTTATATACTGTTTTGCTTCTAAATTAGTTTCGTGTATATTCTATTTCACCAACTAGATCACACAACTCCCGCCTACCCCAATCTCTCCTTTTGCAAGATACAAAACCACACAAATTTATCTCTTAGGTATTTTACGTATATTAACTTTTACCCAGACCCATCAGCAAACTGTAAGTTCCTCAAAGGCAGGGATCTGGCCTTAAACTTCACCACCCCACAGATGCCCTTAATTATAATATTATAATGTGTTTTGCAAGGCTTGGCCCAGTTCCTCTATCAAGCTTCTCTCTCTTATATATATTTCCAATACATACATACATATATATATACCATATTTTTACACAAATAATGTGTTTTCCACGTTTGTTTGCCAACCACTCGCCCCGCCCCCACAACGTATTTCATAAGCGCCACTACTGCTAATTTTTTTACATATTGCTGTAAAAATAATTAGCACAGCACATTTATGAAAATACCTCGCGAGGGGAGGGAGTGGTAGGCAAACATAGAAGGCACACGTTATTTGTGCAAAATATGGTGTGTGTGTGTGTGTGTGTGTGTGTGTGTGTGTGTGTGTATCTACATGTATTTACATGTTGGAAATGAAGTGTAAGTGATTCTATGTATGTATGAAAAAACAAACCAGCCACTCTGTGGGAGAAAGATGTGGTAGTCTGCTTCATAAAGATTTCAGACTTGGAAACCCTATGGGGCAGTTCTACTCTGTCTGATAGGGTCACTACGAGTCAGAACTAACTCAATGGCAGCAGGTATGTACATACATACAAGGATCACTTATACTCCATTTCCATCACACAAATACATGTTGGCTGTACACAAATCTTCAGGAAATCTGAGTTTCTTCAGAATGACCTCCAAACTCCTTAGTATGGATATCGAAGCTTTTTGCCATCTTCCCCCATCTATCCTTTCCAGCCTGAGCTTCACACATCAACACACTAACCTGCTCAAAGTTCCTCTTCTGCACACTATGCCTTCTGTGACACCTCCAGGCCTTTGCTGACTCTTAGATTGCTCTCCAGTCTATGAAAAGACTGTTCATCTTTAAGGTCCATGTCAAAGTCGACTCCTCTATGGACCCTTCCTTAACCCGCCTGGTCAGAATTAATCTCTTCCTTTTCAGTGCCTCCATGGCACTTTGCTTAGTATTATACCACTTCTCATGGCTTGACTGGTGTGGTTGCTAGGGACATGTGTTTCTCTCCCAATATTAAGTCTCTGAGACTATTTTACTTATGCATGAATACCCCAACAAAGTACATGCTTGTATCTCCTTCACCCTGCACAGAATAATCACTCAATAAAGCTTGCTAAATTGAACTATTCTCATCTTAATTTCTGCACAACACCAAGAATAGTATGGGCACATAGCAGTTAATCAGTCAATAATGTTGATTGATAGAGTATAAGTTTCCAGAAGGAAGATTTAAATGCTTTACTGCCTGGTTTTAATGATAATTAAACTAAAGTGATATATCTTGACCAAAAAACAAATGCAGTTTATTCTCTAAATTATTCCTACACTGAATTGGACTTAACAGACATTTTAATGTACCAAAACAAGCAGCTGAGCATTTAGTTTTAATATATTTTAATTTGTAGTGGTTCTCCTGGAATAAAACTATTTATACCTGAGGAACACACATAAAAATTTTTTTGGACATCAATTCTTAGAATGTAGATGGATTTTTTGCCATTTACTTACGATCCACTCAAGTATTTACCATTTAATACTGTCTCTGGGCCAGACACTGAAAAAGGTGCTGGATCATAAAGAAGAATAAGATATGGGCCCTGCCTCCGTGTGTTCACGGTACACTGGGGAAGCTAGATCTCAAAGGAATCTAGGCTTTGGTACTATTAGTAGTAATTAGCTCTATATTGACAAATCCAGAAGTTCTTTAAAATGTACTCTCTTAAATTCAGACATTTATGTTTCAATGTATACAAAAACCAAAGTTATTACAATATTTTTTTTTTCAAAAATCACTTTGGATTTGCCAAAACACCAAAAGAACGTAATTAAATGCTATGCATCAGGGTCAGGACTAGTGTGAGGCAAGATATGTGCCTAAGGCGCAAAATTTAAGGAGGCACTCACTCTCAGGGTCGTGAAAATGCAGGGTCAGTCTTAAAAAGCAGTGCCTCTTTCAATGTTTCACGATAGGCACCTCTCCTGCCTCACCCCAGTACTAGCTGTGCTATGAACGTTTAAGGAAATAATCATTTTGTGTTATGCTTGATGTTGCAAAAACAACTATACCTCATACAAATGTTTTATAAATTACTTCTGGTTTATAAAAAATGGAACTGTGAAATCATGGGGAAATGAGTTATTATGCAAAGAGAATACAGCTACTTTGGGGAGGAAGGAGTAGATCCTAAGGGAAAAAGAAAGATGAAATAGAACCGGTGTATTAAAATGATTACCAAATTAAAAGATTCTGACTACTCAGATTTAGATACCATTCTATTATTATTCATATGGGTTAACTTATGTTTTTACTGATTTCAAATAATTTCCTTACTTGCATCTTTCTAAGATCAAAACCAAATGAACTAAATGAATAGTAACAAAACAATCAGTTATCTAAGCAAAGAGCAATGCTCTTTCAAGACAGATCATTTTGGGAGTTACTACCTGAAGATGATTCTCTTTTTAACTCCTTAGTCTATTACTGATGGCTAGTCAGGATCAAATAGAGAAATTCTGAATGCATTTGGCCCACAGGGATACAATTCAATAACTGAACCAAGTTTCCATCTAAACTAGATGCTCTGAAAACCAGTTGCATATTTAGTACATTATTAAATACAGATAAAGTAATAGATGACTTAGATTTAAAAGGACCTGACATTAAGTGAAAAAGGCTTTCCTGTTACATAAAAATCACGAGAACTTGCAATCAGCCTGTTGCGTATCACTGCAACTGGTAACACAATGGTCAATGTCAGGTAAGATTGTAAAGACGCTTCTGAAGAGTTCCAAACAAATATAAAGTGTAACATTTTCCCCTATGTTGGCTTAATTCTACTTCTCCTTCTCTATACAGTTATTCAGATGTTAAAGAGCTATCCATGTCTTTTAAGTTGGTGGTAGATTTTGCTTTAAAATAGAAAATTTTTACCTACCAAAGTGTTAGGTATTGGAACTAAAAATATAGCAGACAGCTCTCAACAGAGCCTAGAAAAGTTTGGTTGTAAATGTGGCTTATTTATAAAACTATTTTTGGTACAGCCTTTAAATGAGGTTTTGCATGTTCTGTAGCAATAGCAGAAAAACAAAATCATTCCAAGCTGCCATAAATGGTGATATTCATGTAGAAAGATGCTTTGCAACGGATAATAAAAAGGCCGAGGCTGCTCTTAAAATAACACGCCTGGATTTTTGAAGTAAAACATTTAAAATCATAAAAAAATTCTTCTTACAAATAAAAAATGATAATACTAGGAAAAAACGGATTCCAATAATAAATAAAATGACCCTAAATTACTTGACATCTCCCCCCCATATGAAAAATACCTATCTCTGTAGACTATATAAAGAAAAATTTTCTAATTACAACTCTCAATTAACATATAAAAATTTAAAACATCAAAGCAAGATAAACTATTTTAAATTTGCAATTGAAGTCGACTGAGAACAGAGCTAAACTGGGTTAACCATCAATGTGCCTTCCAAAAGCTTTTCTTCCCCTAAATGTGTTCCCTACAACCCATACCTCTATAATAAAATAAAATCCAAGCTTATGAAAATAAGGTTCATGGGGAATATTATCCTTCTGGAGATGAAAATTGTAGCTGAAAATAATTTTCCATGAAATTTATTAAGAAATCTCCAAATTAATTTCCCTGCTAGAGCTCATGCTGGAATACACATAAATACACATGCATACCATAATACCAGACCTTTCCTTATTGAGACCCCAAAAAAACATATTTAACATTCATTGTTCACTTTGGACCAACTACTTAATCTCTGTGGAGAGAGCAAGATTCATAATAAATTATAACTGTACTTTTTTTTAAAAAACACTGCAATCTAAACTTTTAGTTATCTGACATCTTGAGTAAACAGTTCAGATAAACATCATTTATGGATTCTTTATAGGGTGATTACCTTGTAGGCTCTTGGAGTCATCTTTTTCAGAGTCAAAGGTTGAATTATTTTCTTTGAGATTTTATAAAAATGTATGAATGTCACAATTACAAATCCAAAAACCCAAGACACTATTGCAAATTGAGGATTAATTTTTTATTTATGTATACATTTCATATAAAAGTTCTAGCTCATAAAATATGCTCCATATTACATAATTTTAAAGATACATAATAACTTTTATATAATGCTTTCAACCTAGTTTATCCAGCATCATGAATCCTTTTGGTCCTTGGACCTGCCTTTGTTTCCTTCTCTAAAGCTTGATGCAGACCATAATGGCCCCCACAGGGAGGGGCACAACATTAAGGATACTAGGGAGACCAAGTCTCAGTTAATACTGATAATGCTGAGAGGCATACAGCACTATGGGCATGTTATTCAAATGTTAAGGGAAAAATAAGCTGTATGAGTGACCTTCATGAGGTTTTTCACCTGAAGTGAAAAAATCTTTCATATAACTAAAGATTTTACTACTAACGTATCGCAGCTAAAGTTACTTAACTATTTCTCAGTCCTGTGAGGTATCATCAATATCCAGCTTCCAATTTCCACTCTCTAAAATATTTCTCCATGGTACTCCTACTTTTCAAGGTGCCAACATTTACGGTAGGTATGATTTTCTGGGGCTTCAGCCACTGGACAAAACGTTTCATTTCTAGGTAGCTGCTGTGTTCACTGTAAGGAATTCCTGCAACACATATACACAAAAGATATTTAATAATACACACTTCTAGATTTCTACTTACTCTAATTTTTCTTTTTAGACAGTTCTTCCCTTTAGGTGCTTTGCTCAGGTATGGCTTTCAGGAAAATACTGGCAGAAATATGAGTAAAATTTGAAGATTGATGAGCAGGAGATTCTTGATTCCCAGTGCCAATGAGCAGATTCCACACAAAATAAGCAATGCACACACAAAAATAAGCAAAAAGGAAAAAAATGCTAAACATCTCTTCTCCATCTTCATTGACAATCAAGTACCATTAAGAAAGGGAGGAAGGGTCCTTAGAGGCTAAAAGTAAGTCAAATGTTTCAATCAGCCACCACTGTAAAAAGCCTACTGGTAAGCTAACATCTGCAGGCAATGGTAAACCTTCCCCAAGCTGAAAAAACTAAAGCTGTCTGTATCTCTTGTTGTTACCACATCAAATCCACCATCTTCCTGCTCTCAATCTCACAATCGTCTAGACTTTCAGCATAAAACCGCAGTACCCCTCCTTTCAAGTAGTTCTACCATTTCCTTTAAATATCACTGATCACACAAATGAAGTGATCTGCATTATCCAATGTTTACTACAGTCAAACTCCTTTATATCAATTTATGTCTTGAAGATACAGGTACAGAGTACATAGATTTAAACTCTCAAACTGTTAAAGATTCTTCAGTGTCTGTTTTTCCTGAACCTTAATTTTAAAGCTCTTTTAAAAAAATTAAATTACAAACATTAAAAGTGAGAGAATTTAATAATTATACCATATATTGAAATGTTTCCTTTGGTCTGGGGAATAATATCTGCTATACTGGTTAATGTGTTAGAATGTGTCCATCCTGTAGGTCGGAAGGCCAAGATCTGATCATATTTCCCACCATACTTCTTCAAATGTTTCTGTAAACCCTGTTAAATAAAAACAGCATCTTGGTTTAATGGTCAGTAAAGATGGGCTATGTGGAATAAAACAGAATGATTAAAGATGTCACATTGGCAGAGCCACGGGGAGTTTTTACAGGTTAAGCAGTGAAACATCATAGTGCTATGCTTCTAAAAAATAAAATCACTGAAAAAAAAAAAATTTTCCCCTCTATTATCTGAAGTTAAACAAGCTTAAGAACAACCTGAAAAAAAGTAGGAGGAGCAACTTTAAACATAAGTAATTACGTGTGAAAAAATAACAACTTAGACAACTACAAGTAAAGCAAATGCACACACTCTCTCCAAATCCCACTACATAGAAAGACAAGTATCACACTGGTAAACAACAATTCAAACATTCTTCATGCATATATACCGATAGAGAATCGATAGACAGATCTGGATGGACATAGTTTTTAAGAACAGCAGTACACTCAATACAGACAAACATTTTAAAGATGCATAGTAGCACTTTTCTCAGGTGTTTACCTCTTTTGATCTTTTGAACACAAACAAGAGTAAGTTTAAAACTGTTCGGCTGCTAGCCAAAAGATCAGCAGTTCGAATCCACCAGCCACTCCTTGGAAACTCTATGGGGCAATTCTACTCTGTCCTGTGGGGTCACTATGAGTCAGAATCGACTTGACAACAACGGGTTTGATGTGGATTTTTGGTATAAATCCTAAGTACAATAGAACTTCCCCAAACTAAAGTCATTATATTTATTTTTTTAATTGTACTTTAGATGAAGGTCCACAGAACAAATAGTTTCTCATCAACCAGTCAGTACACATACTGTTCTATGACATTGGTTAACAACCCCATGACACATCAACACTCTCCCTTCTCAACCTTGGGTTCCCTATTACCAGCATTCCTGTCCCCTCCTGTCCTTTAGTCCTTGTCCCTGGGCTGTCGTGCCCCATTAATCTCATTTTGTTTCATGAGGCTGCCTAATCTTTGGCTGAAGGGTGAACCCCAGGAGTGACCTCATTACTGAGCCAAAAGGGTGTCTGGGGGCCATACCTTCAGGGCTTCTCCAGTTTCTGTTAGGCCAGCAAGTCTGGTCTCTTATTGTGAGTTAGAATTTTATTCTACAAAACTAAAGTCATTATAAATGATGACATTTGATAAAACTCTAGAAAACCACTGACCAAAGTTCAATCTTTGAAAGGTAAGAGAAATCCAGTTAAAGATAACAACGGCACAAGGGATACAGAAAATCATGATATTTTTGGTCTTAAGACTAAAACCTAGAGTTTAGTGCAAATTTATAATAAAATTCTAGTTTTATTTAAAAATAATAAAAAATCTAAACTGTACACAGTATCTTCTGAAGTTTCCCAAAGTGTCTTTTTCTTCCTTAATCACACATACTTTGAAATATTAAAGTGTTCTAAAAGATGCTGGTATATAATTCTGAAAAAATCATAAAGATGTATCCATTCATCCATCTACCTCTTCATTCATTCAATAAATATTTGTTCCAGTATTATGCCAGGTCCTAGTGTCAGAGTGGTGAAGAAGACAGACACAGCCCTTCCCTTCTCAAAGCTTTCAGCCTAGTAAGGAGGCAGTCAATAAACCCTATCTGCTGTGTCTTTTCTAACGGAAACCAACTTGTCCTTTCTTAGCTTTTTCTAACTCTCCTCATCCCTAACACCATTAGCATCTAGAGCCTTACAGTATGACCCTTTTATAGAGTATTAGGCTTTTAGTAGAAATTCCCAGAAGTAGAATTGCTGAATTAAAGGGTTTACCCCTAATTTACACTACTTTCAAAGTGTATGACATGCCAAATTGTCTGAATTCTCATCACAGCGATAGTGCATTTTTAAAAAGCCTGTCAATTTAGTAGAAGACAAATATATCATCACTGTTTTATGTTTGTGATTGATTACCAGTATAAGGCTAAATATTTTTCTGTTTATTAGATACTTGTATTTCATTGATGCATTAATAACAATTCCTTGATTTCTCTTTTATACCAAACAACAATCTTTTACTAATTTGAAGTCAATATAGGAACACCTACCATTAAACAGTCACATGTCTTGCCAACTAGTACGCCCATAGAAAAAAGTTTAAGTTACGACAGATAACTAAGTTTCCATTATAATATCCCTGGGTCTGCGAATTTTCTAGTTGTGGTCTTGGTTAGTTTAGGACCTATCTAATATAATGTTATTTGCTTAATTACCAATCTTGCTCCTTTTGTCCCCTCCCCCTCAAAAAAGGAAATAGTAAACTGAAGTTTACAGCAATTATACATGTAACACCATATAGGTCGTTCCTATCCATTCCTATTAGAGTTAACACAAAAATATCATTAACCTGTGCCCCAAACAAAAACATATGACATTATCACGAAAGCCAAACCTAAAGAAAAGATTGCAAATAGCCACTAGTGGTCCATTAAACACCAACTTGAGAACTACTCATGAGGAATTTTATTAAGAATAATTTAGTCAACATAAAATCCCTGATCAATGACGTCTGTAACTGATCACCAGTTTGTGAGAAAAATGCTTTCAGCATGTGTCACTATGATTATTTTTTCAGTACATGAATAATCATCAATAGCATCATCGGTATAATGTTTTACCACATTCCATCAATCAGGTGTAAATCAGAGGGGGTAATCAACTATACTATAGTATATATATGAACCCAAATGTTGAGCTAGACAGCATGAATGGTACTATTTATAAAATTTCAAAGGGTTTCAAACATGCCTTGGGAATTCTGAAAATTGTACTGGGTTTACGTTTTCACAAAAAGTCATTAACTTTGATGCAACAAAACTATTTTTGGTCGGTAAAAACATGGCTGTAATTACTAACTAAAATATAGCCTTATAATAACCACCAGTTTCTGCTCCATCTGTGTTCTGAAGATAAGAAATCTTCAAGTATGTCATTAATACCTGGTCACTTTAATGGAGGAAAGGGAAGGGCAACTGAAGGCAATATCAGTAACAGATGACAAACCCAGAAACAACACAGACTTAATGACTCCAGATCATTCCTTTCTCAAGGACACTAGTCTTAAAAAACAAAACAAAAGATTCAAAAGGAACATATCTTGGTGTCATTAAAACCAATTCGAATTCCTGTCTAAAAAAAAAAGTTGTACTTGAGTTGTACTTGTTTGATGATTTAATTCTTATACAAGTTCGGATCTGTAAACATATGATCTCTAAAAGAAGACAATGTGTAATACAAAAAAATAAAGTCTGTAACAGAGTTGTAGGTTGCGAGGGAATTGTTAGAGAGGAAGAGATGGCCCTTTTCCTGCTTAACGCTAATGAATCCCTCTACCTGTGTTCCAGATGTCTTCTCAGAAACCATACTTCATTAATTATTCCTTTTTCCCACGTTATCTTCTATTTTTTCCTATCCATTGACTGCTTTCCCTCACAATATGAAAATTATCATTTCATAGCTAAAAGAAACAAACAAAGGCCCTACTGTGTACCTCCCTCTGGCCATCAACAAATCTGTCTCCTCTTCATGGCCATGCTGTATGTTTCTCCACTGCCTCACCTCTCAATTTTTTTTTTGGTCTTGAAAAGCTGGTCTTTTTTTTTTCTTTTTTTTAATGTGTACAATTCAGTGGTTTTTAGTATATTCACAAAGTTGGGCAACCATCACCACCAACTCCAGAACATTTTCATGCTGTGCCCATTAGCAGTTCCTCCCCATTCTCTCCTTCTCCAACCACTGCCAGCCACTACTCAATTTTCTGTCTCTATGGATTTACCTATTCTGAACCTTTCATATAAGTGGGATCACACAGTAGGTAGCCCTTGTGTCTGGCTTCTCTCACTTAGCATAATGTTTTCAAGATTCATCCCTGTTGTAGATGTATCAGTTCTTCATTCCTTTTTAAGGCCAAATAATATTCAATTGTATGGATATACCACATTTTCCACTCACCTGTTGACGGGTATTTAGGTTGTTTCTACTTTTGGGGTAATAATGCTGCTATGAACACGTGGGGATAAGTTTTTGTTTTCATTTTTCTTGGGTATGTACCCAGGAGTGGAATGGCTGGATTGTATCGTAACTCCATATCTTTAACTTTTTGTGGAACTTCCACGCTGTTTTCCAAAGCAGCTGCGCCATTTTACAATCCCACCAGCAAAGAACGACGGTTCCGATTTCTCCATACCCTCACCAACTCTTGATATTATTGGCCATGTTTTTTATTATAGCCATCCTCTTGGACACTTACCTTAAAATTAATTTGCATCATTGGTAGAAGATGAACCAATGCATTGCACATGTCTGTAGTAATGAGGGAATTGATTGCTGGTATATTGAGACACTGTAATGTTGTATACTTTTCTTGGGACATGCCAACTTTTGAACCCAAAACATCAGCAATGGCTACAGGCAAGCAAAAAGGTTAAAAATAGTAAAATTACAGATTATGAAAAAATAATAAAGTCAAAACATGTAAAATATTAATACTAGAATTTATCAAATAAGAAGAAATTAAAAACAGTCACACTTTTTGCCATAACATCTCAGAAAGGCTGAATAATTCTGTTGGAATAAATTGTGAGAACTCCAGAGTTTATTTTTTAAGGCCTATTATTTAAAAACTATAAAAGATGTATAGAAAAGAGTACAACAAGGGTAGGAACCAAATTTGGAGGGGTTAAAACCCTGGCTTTATGACTTCATATCTTAATGTTTGGCATATGTAACTAAAGAAGGTTTTGTTGCTGGTGTTGTGCGCCATTGAGTCGTATGATTCTGACTCATAGTAACCCAACAGGACAGAGTAGAACTGCCACATAGGGCTTCCTAGGCTATAATATTTACGGTAGCAGATCACCAGGTCTTTTCTCCTACAGAGTCACTGGTGGGTTCGAACTGCCAACCTTTCAGTTAACAGCAGAACGCTTAACCACTGCACCACCAGGGCTCCTGAAGAAGGTTTCAGAAGCAGAAATAAAGAAATGAAAGTACTTTGCTAACAGGACAACACTATGAACTATACAGTTACACATTCAGAAATCTATTAGGAACAATTATAACTGTTCTCTAAAATAATTAACTGACGGCTAACCTCAAAGAACACAGCAATACAACTATGCATTAGTCATCTTTCAAAGTTTATTAAAGTACTAATGTATGAATGTTTGTTCTATAGACATCTTGTAGCTATAAAGTCTACCATAACCACATTTATCAAACGTTTAAATATATCAAACAATACCAAATTTTCCTTCAGCTTCAAAGGTAATATTGAGCCCTTTCAGGAAATAAATATCAATTGCAAGATTAGAGTTGAAAGGGCCCTATGCAAAGAGAATCTGATCTTTATAACATATTAATGTAAATTAGATACGGCTTCCACCCACCTAGGAAGACTTTCTCTTTTCCAATAGAGTAAGTGCCACAGACAACCAGAGCACGTGGGTTTAGGGTTACAGCCTCAAAGGCAGTGTTGATGGCAAACTGGATAACCTCTTGCTGAGATGGAAAGGAGTATCCTGGGCTGCAATATCTGTAATAAGGAAATAGAGCACTTATTAAAACAACAATAAGAAAGCCATAGCATTAAGTTGGGTGCTATTTTAGAAAACATGCTTTTAGCAAAATTACACACCACAGCAGTACAATATATTAACAGTACTGCAGTTTACTAACTGCTTGTGGTTAAAATATTTGTTACCAGCTGTTGATAATTTATGATGGAACTGTAAGTATTCAATATACCTTTTTCATTAAGCTTCTTCTATCGCCCTTAAATAATGAAATTGCCTTTTTGAAAACATTTTCTTTCTCAAAGAATATTTCTAGCCAGTCAGCTATTTTAATAATGAACTAATTCATTGTCAGTATCATTTTTTTTAAAACTTCTTATCACTATCAAAGAAAATACTATTAATTGGATTACATTTGGACTGAAGAACTCTGTTTTAATAAAACAAAATTATTAAAGCAATGAAACAAAATGTGAATTCAATGAAGTAGTTTAAAACCAAACAGTTAATATTCACATGGTTGATACTTTCTTTCCTTGGGAAATAAACAGAAAACTTTCTTATACAGTAATACAGGAATACAATAGACCCAGTTGGGTCTATTTCAAGATAATAACACTCCGTGAAAAAACAACCCCAAGACTACTATCTATCTACACATACATATACATATATATGATGAAAATTATGCATCTTTTCACTAAAAAGCCATAAAATAAAGTTTACTAAGAAAGCATATTTTTTCTCAATTTAAAATGCTTTTGTTGGTTAACAGTCATAAAAGGAAAAAAAAAGTGGTCCTCTCTCTATAAAAATCCACTGAGAAATTCATAATTGTATGTAGAATAAAACTAAGTAATAAGAAAAGGTTTTTACTTATTTTCTTAATTCATCTGGTAGTTAAAGTATACATAAAAGAATGGAAAAATGAACTGCAGTGTTAGAAAACTGGATATGGAACGATCATCTTTTATTAAAATATGCTGTATAACTCCTCCCTGAAACAGGTTGAAATGGTTAGCATACTTTCTAAAAAACTGATGAGGTGTTTTAAAAATAATAAAAAGATAATGGCATATGCCATCATATCTATAGTACTTAGAAATTCCAAAGTTGTCACTTATAAACTACCTGTTTGAGAAAAGAACAAATGTTTAACTTTGATTCGCAGAAACAAAATAACATTTGGTCTCTGTTTTCTCTTCATAACATACTAATAGTTACAAGGATATTTTGAAAAGATAACCTAAAAGGGGGTTTCCTGAAGTTTGCCCCAAATTTTTCTTCTTTGCCTCAGTAACAGGATTCTCACATAAACCATATTTTCAAAAAGAAATTACAAAAAAATTAAGCCGTAATCAGTTAAGATATACAATCCCAAATTGCCCTTAATTAAGTATACTTTTAAATAGCATCCCTTTGCTAAATAGCCTTAAAATGACAACTGACAAAAAATCATCATAATAATCAGAGTGCTCAAATTATTCATAATTTACAGGGCAAATGCTGTCAGTGGGAAAAGGAAGCACACAAATAAAGCCTCTCTTACGTGGTATCTAAGTAAAGTATGTGGACTTTCTGGCTCCCAAGAAGAGAACGTTCCATGGTGGGGTCTGCTCTGAAGTCTCCAGTGTGTAATATGACAGTCCCATTAGGAAGATAAAAAAGGAGCATGACAGCACCTGGGCAGCTGAACGTAAACATGTTAAATATATTTAACACAGGCAAAGCATCTAAAGGAAGAACAGCTATTTCATTATCAACAAATTAACTCAATGTATTAGCTGACCACGATGATGTAGCATTACACTACAGAGAAAGACAGTATTTTAACTGAAGGAAATTTCCATCATTAAAAAAATGGGTGTGCAGGAAAAGTACCAGCAGGCCTGGGTTGCTCAAAGCCTGCACAGTCCCTAGAAAGGCCTGTCTTCAGGACTCCCTCTTGGAAGATCAGCTCTGAGCCCTTGGAATATTCTATCTAATAAAAGTGTTTTTAGATGCTTATGGTCTTGGGCCACATGGTACTAGTTTGAGCCGATAGTTTATGCTATCAATGTGATCTATGATGAACCTTTGTTTTTACCCTGGGGGTCTGGAGTCTGAGAAGCTGATGTCAGTCACACAGGTGCTCCATGCCTATGTGACTGACCCCCAATGAAAATTCTAGATACTAAGGCTCGGGTGAGTGTTCTTCGTTAGCAACACTTTGCATGTGTTGTCACACATTGTTGCTGGGAGAATTAAGCACGTCTATGCCACTCGGAGCCCTGGCGGTGCTGTGGTTAAGAGCTCAGCAGCTAACCAAAAGGTAGGCAGTTAGAATCTACCAGCTACTCCTTGGAAACCTTACGGGGCAGTTCTACTCTGTCCTATAGCGTTGCTGAGTCGAATCAACTCGACAGCAATAGGTGTCATTTTGGTATGACATTCTTAAGGAGCCCTAGCATACAATGATTAAATGCACAGCTGCTAACTGAAAGATTGGCAGCTCGAACCCACCAGTAGTTCTGTGGCAGAAAGACCTGGCGATCTGCCCCAATAAAGACTGCTGTTGTTAGGTGCCACTGAAGTTGGTTCCGACTCATAGCAACCCTATAGGACAGGGTAGAACTGCCCCATAGGGTTTCCAAGGAGCAGCTGGTGGATTTGAACTGCCAACTTTTTTGGTTAGCAGCTGAGCTCTTAACCACGATGCCACCAGGGCTCCCCCATAGAGATTATAGTCTAGGAAACCCTATGGGGCAGTTCTACTGTTACATGGGGTCACTATGAGTCAAAATCGACTCAATGACACCTAACAACAACAACATGTGACTCTACTGAGAAAGAACACCTGGAAGCCTGTGCCTGGTTTCTCCTGGACTTCACCCCATGCACCTTTTCCCTTTGCTGATTTTAATCTGTATCCTTTCACTGTAATAAACTGCGAGTCTAACAGCTTTTCTGACTTCTGTGAGTCCTTCTAACAAACCATCGAGCATGATGGTGGTCTGGGGACCCCAACACAATGGGGTTTGTAAATTACTGCCAAAACACATGGAACTTTTACTTTGAATTTTAAGAAAATACAGGAAATAATTAAATTAGTAATTAAAATCCTTCCATTTAATCCCTCCAACCCCAAAATTAAAGCCCCAATGATTTTACTGGGGAATTCTATCAAAAACTGAGAGAATAATACCAAAACTCCACAACATCATTCAGAAAATAGAGAAAGAAAGAATAGAATACTTCATGAGGCCAGCATTAGCGTGATACCAAAATCAGACAAAAGTATTACAAAAAAACTACAGATCAATATCCATCATGAAAACAGACACAAAAATCCTTAATAAAATATTAGTATATGAAGGCCAGCAATATATTTTTAAAAGGGTAATACATTCTGGTTTTCACAGAAGCATAGTCAATAGTTGCACTACAGCCATATGAATGCCGATAGTACTTCACATTTAAAAAAAAAAAGAGGAAAAAATGGAAAGCATTTCCAAGAAAAATCTTGCATGGTTTTAGTATCAAAAGCCTGAGGATTTGTTAGTTTAAAGGAAAAAAACCCTCTAATCTCTGTATGGATTATAGGCTGTTCATTTATGTAAATGATAGTTAAGAAAATGGCAAAGATTATCCTGTGAAGCACAGCAGCAACATGTTATAGCTTTTTTTTTCTTCTTTTAAATATGATGGAGTCTCATGTCAAGCACAGCATCGAAACTGGATAAAAAGATGGAGTGAGATAACATTTAGAGGCTCTAAGTTTAATCTGACTTGTAACTGGGTACCTTATTTTTTTGAAAAGGAGAAATATGTTTCACCCAAGTTATAAAAAATATCAAGCACATTAGTTATAATAAAGTTTTTAAATAAACATGCAATGTTTTTTCCTTTAGAATATTTAAAAAATAGGCTATTATTAAGGTGACTTTAACACTTACTGATTGGCATCAAGCAAAACAACTTTGATACCATTCACTATACATTCAGTGTCCATTGGCAATGGATGGATATATTGTTCTTGCACATGTAGCTTCTTCTTCAACAAATTGCCAGTTATCTGCAAAACAGGATGTGCTGATACTGTAAAACACTAAATAAGTTTTTTATTTCATATTTAGTTTAGAGTCAAAGCATCTTAATAGTCTCCTTGTTCTCTCAGTGAGATTCAAGTAAACCCTCCACAATGGCAGGAAGGTAAACTTTCTAAAACGACTGTGTCACTACCATGCTTAAAAACCATCACTGATTCTCCCCCACCTGGGTAAAGTCCATCATTCCCAGCATGACATACTGGCCCCTGCCCACTTCTCCTGTTTAGCCTTTCTGAATTCTCTAAAGTGCCTGGAATGGGTACATTTCCCAGGTGCCTATCCCTCTGCACACTCTCTACCTTCTACCATGAATGCTCTCTTCTCCTTCCTCTGCTAGGTTCTGGAATCGGAACATGCATTCAAATTCTGGCTCTGCCATTACTGGTTCTGTGATCTGGGCCGTGTCACTTAACCTCTTTGAGCCTCAGCTGCTTCATTATTAAAAAGAGGATAATCCCTGAATGCTGTAAAATTTTGTAGCTAAAGCCCTCAGTAATAAGCATTCACTTTTTAATAATTGGTTCAAGGTATCTCCATGAAACTTTCTCTAACCTTAACCCTGAACAGAGTAAAGCACTCCCTTCTCCATTCCCTGGGCATTGAATTTGTTTATCTATCACAATTCTATTGTGGTATTATTTGTGAATCTGTTTGCCCTGGAAGCTGTATGCTCCTTGAAGTTAGGTACTTTGCCCTGTATATCTTTTTAGACACTTGGTAGAAGTTTGCTGAATGAAATCTAGGTTTTTTAGTACATCATGAAATAGCTATTGTTTCCATATAATAAAGCATATTTTAAAAAAATCAAGCATAACTGGTGACATTAACTCATTTAATTGTAGAACCTCAATTTGGAATCTGTTTTCTTGTATCTTTTCTAGTTGAATGATAGATCTTACAATTTTAATTAATCTCTTTTTTAATCAAGTTGCTTAGAAATTCTCCAAATTTGAAGTTAAGAATATTAAAACTTACCTCACTACAATAAACTGGAGAAGTGAAGTTTTTAGACAAGCCTGCATAATGATCAGAATGAAAATGTGTGAGAAAATAGGCTGTGCAGCCTTCAATAAATCCATACTGAAAGGCATCAACTGTAAAGCCAGTTCCTGCAATGAAAATACAAACACAGCAGGCTAAGCAAGAGCTTGCCAATTAAAAGATGTCCAATTTACTTTTAAATATTAAGCCGTCTATCCCCTCTATGTCTCATTTCCAATTTAAGTTTATAATTTATTGAAAAACTTACACTACACAAATTCAGCAAAAGGTGATATTAGAAATGAGAATACTTCTTTTAAGTTTCTACTAAATATCTCAGAATAGAGTTTCCTTTATGAATACCTGCACCAAATCAAAATACTAATTTACCAACCAATCATTTGCTTGTTTTAACTAATACTTCCATGATACTTAGCCCCTAAAATCCTTACTTCTGCAATAACCAGCAAAAGGAGAATGCTAACTTTCTTCTAAAACATGAATTCTCAATGGGAGTGATACTGATATGCTCTCAAGAGGACAAAAATGGTTAAGGGTCAAAAAAATTTTTGATATTACAATGGTTTGCGGTCCTCCAAAGGGCCACAGTACAGTAAGAGATAAACAGTACATCTGTAGTGTTTTAATTTCATTGGGGGAGGGGGGAGAAAGGAATAAAGTGCCTAGAAAGGCTCATTAGAGAAGGAACAGTAATGAAGAAAAGGTTGAGAAACACTGCTCTAAATGTGTTACGATAAGCAAGTAAATAAGCATACTTTCATAATTCTATTAAGACTTAACATGCGGTATACTAGTTTTAGGTTCACTTAAAGTACAGACAGTTAATCAAAATACTTATTAAAAACAAAACTGGTTCTATGATATGTACATAAACTCTATTATCTAGATAAACATTTGAACAAACTACAGATCTAGAATATCAATAAAGCACTTCAAAAAATCTTTTTGAAACCAAGTATATTTTATCTAGTTTATTTTAAATTCTTTTCAGAAGAGTTATTGGTTTCTTCCAAAATAAAATTCATTTCACGGAATATCTTTTCTACCAAGTCATTTACGAAGGCACGAGAAATCACAAGAATATGAAAAAGCTGAGAAACCGAATTCTAATAAGGTTTTAAAATGTTTAGCATTTGTTACAGCACGTACAACCTGTGATATTTCCCCTCTGAAGCTTCTTCATACTTTGTATTTCTCACAAACACTTAGACAGTGCCTTTTATTATGGTTACTTAAGAAATGCATCTCCTTCTTTCATATTAAGCTGGATCCTTACCACTGTCTTGCTAATCTTTGCATGGTCTGTAATACCTCCCTAACTACTGTAGTATCTTGTATATAGAATATGCTAAATAAAAGTTGGCTGTATTGAATGGAACAAAAAGATCAAATGGCCAAAAAAATCTGTTACAGGCCCATTAAGTACCATGAAAAGCAAACACATGCGAAAAAATGCGTCACCCACACACATACAACATGGGTAATAAGCATCAAAGTAAAAAAAGTTGTGTGTTTCTGTAAGTATATTAGGCACTGATGTTTCAGCTTACCAGGTATTTTCTTATAGAATGGACATCTCCTTTTTCTTAATCCTTCTGCATTAGATAACTCTGGGATTTTTGCACACCTCCTCTGCAGCCTGCCACCAGCTGATTTTATGGAGACTTTGTCTTTACTTAAACTGACTGCTCCAAATTCTGTATTGTTGATGTGATCTGACTTCTGAGATGCTCCTTCCTGTACTGAATTTGACTTTTTACGTCTCTTTCTTTGACGTTGTGGCCTCTCACTAGAAAGTTCCGCAGGGAGCTGACTCTCATTTAAATTCTTTGCATTGAATTCTAAATCACTTAGAGAGTTTTCTGCTTTCCTCTTGCACCGCTTGGACCTTTTTTTGTTAGGACTTACAACTGGATTTAAGTCCGTCTCTTTTAATGCACTTTCCTCCAGCAATTTCTCTTCTTTCCTTTTGGGTGGTAGTCCAAAATACACACCTATATCCATTTGTTTCATTACTTTGTTAGAAGAATGTCTTGCATCACACTTAGGACCAGATGGCACTATTTTCACAGACTTAGTGGCAGTAGATGCACTAGAAAAATTCTCTGATTTTAAAACGGAAACTTTACTGTCTAGCATACCATCTAATGCCTCTCTGCAGAAATGTACTGAATTAGTATTATTCTTAGCATTAAAGTTCTCACTTGATAATTCTATTTTACTTTGGTTTAGATGGGAAGAAACATACTCTCCTCGTTGGCTTTCAAAACGGTTTGGCATTTCACTTTTAAGTAACGGAAGAGAAACTTGACTGTAAACAGCTGATTCTTCAACTGCCTGATTCTGTTTATTTGCTTGAGATAAGTGAAATTCTGGCTCATCAGGTTTAGCTTTAGTGGCTAGGTAATTAGGAGCATCATGTCCCCCTGCTGATGCAGGTGGAAACAACATAAAATCATCACCACTATATGCTGGATCATCACAGGCACTAATACTCCCATTGTTTTGGGAAATAAGTTGAGACAAATCAGTTAGAGTATGGTATTTATACAATTCTTCATTGTACTTATTCTGAGTTAAGAAGCTATTCATCTCCGGGCAGCTAGCTTCCTGGCCCTTCAGTAAAGGATCACGGATTTTTTTAAACAAAGTAGAGCTGTTGTCATCTTCTAGGCTTCCATCTTTTGAGCTTTCAGTGAAAAATAGTTCCTGTTGTGAACCATCCAGCTTTTCATCTACATCGTACGTTTCTTCATCACTTTGAAGTGGAGAATAAGAGATTTCACAGTCACTAAAGTCATTTTCTGGCACCGGCAAATTTATGTGTTCTGAGCTGTCTAATTCTTCATCAGCAAGAGGCAAACCAACTCCTACCAGCTGGTCATTATTAACAAACTCAGTAAATTTTAGAGCTCGCTGGGACTTTTGGATATTTGTAGAAAACGATACCTTTTTGTTGGTTTCAGCTGGAGATTGAGATTTTCTTAGACACTGTGTCATCAAAAAGGGATCATCAGAAACATTTTTTAAGTTCTCAGTTTGTTTCTGATTCAGAGACCATCCTTTCTCAAGGCTGCAGAGAAAGCCTGAATTAGTCTCACTGGAACAATTCAAACGACCACCTGTTGTATGTGATGGGCTGCTGAAAGAATTAGGACTTGCCCTATTTTGAGCCAGTAGGAGGTGAGTGTATCTCTTGTAATGAGAAGGAATTGTTGAGGTACACAGAAGACCATCAGGACACTCTGACAATTTTAATAAAGAAAAAAAGTATTAGAGAATCAAAGCATAGACTCAGCTTTGACAGCATTAGCACTATAAGTTGACACATAGTAGAAATCATCAGTCCTACTTAGAGGCCTTAAGATAACAGCTATTCTTAACTGCAGAAATCCAAAGATAAACATCAAATGTCAACACTTCATCCAGTATGGTTTTGCAAGGAGCTATTTGTCATTTTTAAGACAAACACACTTTTAAATTTCTTTTCTCAAAAAATACATTTTAAGACTAACCCCTCCCCCCACTCTTTCCTATGTAACTCCACAAATGTGAGCTCCTTTAAAACAAAATAACTCCGTGACATGCTTGTGTAGAGTATTTTCTAAACAGGTGCTACAGATTGACGACATCAGTTTCACCAGTTCTGTATTACTCAGGCAACAAGAATAAGGAGAACTGGTGCTAAACACAAAACTAAAGTCATATTTTTAAGACTACCAATTTTTATCTGATAAGCAACAAGATTTACGTAACTGTAGTATTGAATTAGATTCCACATTTTAACATTTACATTGTGTACAAGTGAATGATAAAATAATAACAATCTTAACAAGATTAATAATAACAATCTTAATAGCTGTTCATACACTGAATATTTTAGACTCTAAGATTTGAAATTCAATTTAATGTACTGGCTAATAAACCCGTTGCCGAGTTGATTCTGACTCATGATGACCCCATGTGTTACAGGGTAGAACTGCTCCATAGGGTTTTCTTGGCTGTAATCTTTAGTGGAACAGATTGCCAGGCCTTTCTTCTACAGCACAGCTGTGGGGGTTCAAACTGCCAACCTTTCAGTCAATAGTCAAGAGTAAACCATTTGTGCCACCCAGGGACCTATGCTGGTTAATAGGAAAGCTTTAATAATCTGGAAACTATTCCCCATCGTATTATGATTGTGACTCGTCAAACCCATTGCCATCAGGTTGATTCCAACTCATGGTGAAACATTTTGTAAATCATCTTGGCATATCCCCGCATATGTTAATGTCTGGGTTTATTAAAAAAATGATCCTCCACCCCAAGAAAAGAAAAGATACCATGTTAAATTAGAAGACTTCATTGCTTAAAACTGAACTTAAAATTGCTTCATAAAGTATTTGTGGAATACCAAGAAGAGCCCATCTTAGATTGTATTCAAAGGAGTTTAGTCAGTGAAAAACCAATGGAACATCTTTAAGGGAGCCCTGGTGGCATAGTGGTTAAGAGCTTGGCTGCCAACCAAAAGGTTGGCAGTTTGAATCCACCAGCCGCTCCCTGGAAACCCCATGGGGGCAGTTCTACTCTGTCCTATAGAGTTGCTATGAGTCGGAATTGACTCGATGGCAGTGCGTTTTCATGTATAAGACATTTCACTCTGAGGTGCTCACCATGGAACTCCAACTTCCATTTCTGATATTTAAGCAACTTAAAAGCAAAATTACTTGCATTTGATCGTTATTGCTTGCTATACTTTTATAGAAAAGGCTAATAAATGCCAAATGTTACAAAATACAATGAGTTCTTTTGCATCTTCATGTAGTAAAGTGATGACTAGAGATTAATAATAAAATATTTTCAGAATCATCATTAACATGAAACCACACTGAGAACTATGTTTATTTTACTAAATTCTAATTCTTTAAAATTTAAAAGTCTACGTATGGTATATATAACTTCCAGATAGAAAATCATCACAATAACCTCCATATATTCCAAGTAGGACTGTCTACATGTTAAATACAACACATATGTTACATTGTTACAATATCTATTTTAGAAGATAATAAGATAGTAGTACTTCAATTATCATTTGGCACCCTTTTATTATTAGCATCTTAATAACCTAAGACTTCTTCCTATTTCCTCTTTCCTGTGCATTAGCATGATGAATACAACATGACATTTAGAATACCAGACTATATTCCTATTTTTGTACATAGTTTCATAAAAGATGGTGAAATGGGCAAGTTATTTAACTTTTAAGAACCCTCATCTATAAAATGTCAATACCACCTACCTTACACAGTTGTGAGAATCAAGTAAACAGAAGTCCCTAGCATAGCTGGTGCTCAATCAACATTTATAAAATCGAGATATTTAGGGACTTTTAGGAAATACAAGACTGCATTTTAACTGTTTTCAAGTTTCTTTACAATTATACCATTGACTGATAGCTTTTTACCCTCCTTAAGAAGCGTAAAATGTATTACCTTGTTTGCTTCCAGAGTAAGTCATTTATACTTAAAAGTGTTTCCCTCGCTTTTGGTTTTTACTTGCCTTGTTTGTTTCATCGAGCTGATGTGTCTGACTGATAAGCAGACCTTTCAGACTAGTTAGAGAACAAACATGGGGTCGCCATGAGTCAGAGTCCACTCAACAGCAACTGGTCCCTTTTTATGATCTTACCTGTTTCAGAGACCTGTGGAGAATCCAAACATTCAAAAACATGCCATCGAGGTGTTTGACCTAGCAATGAGGAAAAAGGCATCTGGCAATTAGGACAGTATCCATCATAAAGTGCACGTATCTTTGGGGATTCTTGTTTTTTTTTTTTAGTTCGACAGTGCTTTGCTGGGGTGGTCTCCTTATCTTGGGAATGCTGAATACTATCTCCACTTGAATCCTGACCAGAAGCTACAGAAATCTGACTGTGTGTTTCTCCAAGACATATCTCATTGTCCTTTGTCTTCTCTTTAGCTTCCACGGTTCTTTTCAGTTCTTTTTTATTTCTTCTTCGTTTTGACTGGTATTTCCCATCTGTTGCCTTTTCAACAGATTTTGGAGTATTTTCAGAGCCATTATTTCGATGTACTCGTTTTGCTTTTCTTTTGGATTTGTATTCCCAGATGTCTTCTTCCAAAAAAGTGTCTTCTAACATGGCAAAATGATTGTCATTAAAGAAGCACTAAGCTTAACCAGGAGTCCATTTCTTGTTACAAAAATGTTAAATGGAATTCTTTTTCTGAGAAACAAACAAAAACAACGGAAAACTCACTAACTCAGCAAAAACCTAAAGCCATGGTAATGAATACACTGACAAACTACAAACATTATACCTGAGAATGTTGCTGTTCTATTTATACCCCAATAAAATTGAGAGAATCTACTACAGGGGTAGCATCTGAGAAGTTTTTCATTGTGTCACTTTACCAGGGCTTGACTCATAAAAAGAAAAATCAGTAATACTTCAAAAATTAAGCACTAACGGCAAGTATAGGTTCAACAGCTTAGTCTGAGAACAAGCTTTGTAAAATTGTTACGAAGCTACTGTCAGTTTTCTTTCAACTTAAGAATGGTCCAAATCCAACCACAGTCCCTGGGCAAATGGCTCAGCAAGTGTCCCAAACACTAAACGGCTACTTCAGTTTACTAGTAATACTTGTCACACCAAGAAGGGTGAAGAGCAGAAAAGTGTGTGATCAGCAAAAACAGAATAGCCCTTATCAGCGACTCTTCAACAGTTAGGTTTCCTGAGCAGTCCAGCATTTTCCTCCATCAGCAATGAAGAAAACACTGCACGAAGAACAAAGTTCAAACATGTGAAGCTGTGCTTGTACTATGGCCACACACTTAACTCCAAACCATACTGGCGGACCACTCTGAAGGTGGCCAACCCTCTCCGCAAGCCTCAAAATCTAGGTTAACTTGCCTGATGCTTACCACCGGTTCTACTTTCCTTTTGGATGGTGGAAGCTGCAAGGCCAGCGAGTGCGGTCTTAACCATCTCAACCATGCTAGGCCAGCCCGCTTCAAAAAAGGTGTTAGGGCCCTCCCCTTCTGAAGATTCAGAGACACAGCCCTCTGGAACCCTCGCCGCAACCCACCCGCCACCTGTGCCCCTGGGGAGCGAATCCAGACTCCAGCTGCGTCCGCTCCCCTGCGTGCCCCCCTCACCCGCTCGGCTGACAATCTATTCGCGCCAGCACTTTCAGTACTACCAGGGCGACAAAATACTGTATTTGTGTATAAGCCGAAGCAATTGGACAGTCACTCCCAACTTTAAAAACCTTCTTCCTTGAGTATATCCTTACCCCCTTATCTTTCGTGTCTTAGCGGGAACAGCTTCCCACTGCCAGTGTTGTGTCGAATCGGCTGATCTTTGTCTAAGAGCGGGAATTTAAAAAGAATTTTTAAAAAATGTCTATGCCCTCTTAAATACTACAGGTTTACTTTATTTTATTTCTGTCCTAAAATCCACTAATGTCCAAAGAGGAAGGTGGTGAAATGGTTTCTTTAGAGCTTCTAGAACGCTAACCCAGCAGCCTTTTCATGTTGAATCTGGTGCTCTGAATGTCCAGGCTCAGCGGTGGCGAAAGGACCTGGAAGGGGCGGGGTGGTTTGGGACCATACTTTAATTACATGGCCAGGATTGCGACGGTTGGAACTTTGGCATTCGAATAGAGTTTTTTTTGTTTTTAGGTGTCGTCAGCGGGGAGCGGGGCTGGTGGAGCGTGAGGTGAATGTGTCGTTTTGAAACCAAAGGACAGTAAACGCTGCCTCTCCCCAAACTAGACTACCCCGCGGGCCGGCGGCCGTCTTTAGAGAGACAGGAGAGAACATGGCGGCCCCCGGCACCCGGAGTTTCAGCCTCTCAGGACTGCTCCCGGCTCAGACCTCGCTGGAGTACGCCCTGCTCGATGCCGTTACCCAGCAGGAGAAAGACAGTCTGGTCTACCAGTATCTGCAGAAGGTGGACAGCTGGGAGCAGGACTTGTCAATGCCTGAGTTTCCGGAAGGTGAGGGGTGGCTTCTGGGTGGGGAACCCTCCCGGAACCTCCCCTTCCTCGAGGATGGCGCCCTCGCCTGAAGCGGTGGGCGAGGCGGGGTTGTTTCGCTGGCCTCCGGGCTTGGTGCTTCGCCCCACCCAAGCGGCGGATCGCGTGCCTTTCTAGTTCCAGGTGTCTCGAAGCGGTGGCAGACGATGGGTTTCTCAAGGGCAGAGAAGTGCATATTAGTCCTTCTGTCCGGAGTCCACCCTGGAGCTTGATGTTAACTAAGTAGACGCTCCGTGAATGTTTAATGGCTTAGATAGCGTTGACTGAAATGTCCATGCCACCGTCTCCGTGTGTAGTCTGGTTCCTCGGAATCGTCATCATTATTTTCCTGCGTCATCTTAGCCAACCTTTATTGATCACTTCTGTGTGCCATACCTGAACATTTCAGGTGGATTACATTTTATTTAATCTTCTTTACAATCCCATGAGGTACTTTCATTAGTTCTGGTTTACAGTTGAGGAAACTGAGGCAGGGAGGTTAAGTATCTTGCGCAGGCCCTCACAACTAGTGAATCCCAGAATTGGATTATACAGACCCCAGATTTGCTGGTTTCTTAGCCGGGCTGCATTTCTTTCAAAGTTGTGAGACTTTTTATTTTGAAAATCTGAATCATTTTGCTTATTTCCAGGCAAATTGAATCTTGGCTGTGAGCGTTTGGAACCTGAGGGAAGAAATATTCCCAGCAGTGCTGTTCGTGAAGCACAGCTTGCTATGATAAATGAAACTAGTTTCTTTGGTTGGGACTGGTATTGTTTTGCCTGTTGCTTTTGGCATGTCTCCTGGCATGACACTGAAACCCCATGTATAGTTAATTGGTTGAATGCGGCAGGGATCCATTATCTCATGGGAGGTAGATTGAAACCTTATCTTTGACAGCAAAGTATTTTGTGTTTCCAAGCTATTTGCATCCCCTTGAGAAGTGCTTATTTTTTCAGTTGTTAATCCTGTACTGGCTTTGAAATATGATGGAATTCTTAGCAAAAAATTGGGTGTATGAATGCTTATCCCATCAAAGAAACTTTAAACGGTTAGGCGCTCAACTACTAGCTGAAAGGTTGGCAGTTTAAACCCACCTACAGGTGCCTCGGAATACAGGCCTGGCAGTCTGCTTCCGAAAGGTCACAGCCTTGAAAACCCTATGGAGCAGTGCTGCTCTGCACACACTGGGTCACCATGAGTTGAAATCAACTCACTAGCAACTAACGGCAGTTCTTAAGCTTCACGTTCATTCTTCGTAGCTCGTTTGTACTTAATTATGTATGCGATTAGGTCCTCTTAATGTTTGATATTTCCTCTTGTTTTTGCCTACGCGTGTTGATTTTTCACTTCTCACACACAGACTATTACACTATTTTTGAAAGAATTCTAGTTGTTTTAGTAGCTTTTTCTTACTATATTTATGGCCTGCCTCATAGCAGCAGCTTTCCCATCCTCTCTCCTTCACCCTTCCGGCTCCTTTTCTTCTTTCTTCTGTCTTTGGGCCTTTGATCTTTACAGACTTGTATTCATAGTCATTTTCTTTTTCTTTACAAATACTTGTTTTGTCACAGTCATGAAGATACATCATTACTTTTATTTTTACTGTGTATTGATAGAAATGGGTGGTTCTTTGTAATTAATAAAATAATAAATAAATTCAGTTGCCACACCCTTTAAATAATACTGTCATCTCAAAGTTTTTGACTTACTCTAGCCTTAGGAAAAATAATGGTTCATGTTTTGGATAAATTATCTTTTTCTTTTCTTTTAATCATTGTAATCGATTTTGTGTAAATTTCAGGATTAGAATGGCTGAACACAGAAGGACCTATTTCTGTCTACAAAGATCTCTGTGGAAAAGTGGTCGTCCTTGATTTCTTCACCTACTGCTGCATAAACTGTATTCACCTATTGCCTGATCTTCACGCATTAGAACACACGTACTCTGATAAAGGTATCTGCCCTTTAATTCCTTTCTAAGAAATTGTCTTTGCCTGGGAACAGGACGACGCTAGCTGATTTATTTACTCATAAGAGAATGAACACCAAAACTTCATTGATTCTAAAAGTAATTTCTAGTTTATGAGTTAAAGACTCTATGTGCCTTTTCATGAAGGCTTAAGCTTAGTAATAATGGCTTTGCCTACCTAAAAAACCAGCCTTTAGTATATGTCTTTCTCTGAGAATAAGGGCATAATTTACTTTTTTATGACAGAGTTTTTAAAAAGGTCTTTTCTGTATGTGTGGACTGACCAAAATTGTGTTCTCTGAAGAAATGAAATGTATGACCCTAATTTTATACTTTTTTCACTGTGATATAAAAGTTTAGAGATCTTATAAGGAAATGTAATTAGGTTTCTGTTAATTTCAAATGACATGAGCTACAATGGAAAGCAAAATATTATAACAGATTTTTTTCTCTGTCCCTGCTTCATTAAAAAATTATAAATGTTAATATTTTCAAAACACATTGGGAAATTCTCTTTTATGGTATTACAAATTCTGAAGATATGAGAGATTATATTTACTTTGTTGTAGAAGTTCAAAAAAATAACTTATTTTTTCCTAATCTACCTCTCTAAAAAGAATGCATGGGGGAAAATGAAGCTATTATAGGTCACACTTATTTAGGTTTAAATTCACTGAAGCTTCACTGTTGGAGTGGATGAAAAGGAGAGAGAGTCACTGATCTTATGAGAGTAGAGATGAGAATAGAATCTACATGTACAAAAATGAAGAGTACCTTGAAACTTAGTTAAGAAAAAGAGTTATAGATAAAATCTTCAGTGCAGGTGAAATTTCCCATCAGTAAAGATTTGTTGCGAACTCAAATATTCCCAATAGCTAAATCGTGTTTTCAAAAATTCATCTGGTGACTTACAGGAAGATAGTAACATGAGCAAGTCTAATATCACAACCCTCCCACGTAAGCACCAAGAAGAAACCCAAACCCATTGCCGTTGAGTTGATTCCGACTATAGCGACCCTATAGGACAGTAGAACTGCCCCATAGGGTCTCCAGGCAGCAGCTGATGAATTCAGACTGCCAACGTTTTTGCAGCGTAGCATGCTGTAGCTCTTAACCAGTGTGCCACCAGGACTCAATAAAAATGAAGAGTACCTTGAAACTCAGTTAAGAAAAGAAGTTATAGATAAAAGCAACTAAAAATCTGTAATCTCAGCTTTGTAAGAACTCTGAAAATTAGGTGTAAGATTGTAGCAACTAACCACATGCATCTATTATAGGAGACAAAGAAGGGCATCATATAATGTTGTCAACAGTAAACAATTATAAATCTATACGCCTCTAACATCAGAGCCCTGAAATCTATGAAGCAAATACTGACCCAAAAAAAGGGAAAAATAGATAATTCTACAATAACAATTCTATAGTAGTAGCTGGAGACTTCAGTGCACTACTTTCAATAATGGACAGAACATCTAGAAGGAAGATCAGTAGGAAATAAAGGATTTGAGCAATACCATAAACTAGTTAGTCCTAACTGACATGTATACAATACCCCACCCACCAACAGCATAATACACATTCTTCTCCAGTGCACCTGGATTGTTCTCTAGGATAGACCAAACAAGTCTCAATAAATTTATAAAGTTTAAAATCATACGGAGTATCATTTCTGAACACAATGGAGTGAAACTAGAAATTAATAACAGAAGGAAAACTGGAAAATATACAAATATGTGGAAATTAAACAGTACACCATTAACCACTGTGTCAAGAGAGAAATCAGAAAATACTTAGAGGCAAATGAAAATGAAAGCACAACATACCAAAGCTTATGGGATGCAGCGAAGGCAGCATTCAGAGGGAAATTTATAGCAGTAAATGCTGTTGTTGTTTTTTTTTTTTTAAAGAAAACAATAACCTAAGTTTACAGCTTGAGGAGCTAGAAAAAGAAGAGCAGACTAAGCCCATAGCTACTCGAAGGAAGGAAATAACAAAAATCAGGGTGGAAATAAATGAAATAGAAAATAGAAAAGCAGTAGAATCAGCAAAACCAGAACTTTGTTCTTTGAAAAGATAAATAAAATCGACAAACCTTTAGCTAGACTGTCAAAAAAAGAAGATGCAAATAACTAAAATCAGGAATCAATGTGGGGACATTAAAACCAAACCTACAGAAATAAAAAGAATCATGAGAGAATGCTATGAACAGTTGTACACCAACAAATTAGATAACGATGAAATGGATAAATTCCTAGAAACACAAACATGTAAACTATCTAAATTGACTAAAGAAGAAAAAGAAAATCTGAACAGACCCATGACAAGTGAAGAGATTTAAACAGTCATGAAAATCCTCTCGACAAAAAAAAAATTCCTGGGCCAGGTGGCTTCACTGGGGAATTCTACCAAGCGTTTAAAAAATTGGCACTAACCATTCCTAAACTCTTCCAGAATTAAGAGAGAACACTTTTTAACTCATTCTGTGAGGCCAGCATTACCCTGATACCAAAGCCAGTTAAGACACCACAAGAAAAAACAAACTATAAACCAATATCTTATGAATATAGATGCAAAAACCCTCAACAAAATAGCAAACTGAATTCAACAGCATATTAAAAGGATTATACATCATGACCAATTGGGATTTATTTCAGGAATGCAAGGGTGGTTCAACATAAAATCTATCAGTGTCATATGTTATATACCACATTAATAGAACAAAGGAAAAGAACCACATTATCATCTCAGTGGACAGAGAAAAGACATCTGCCAAAATCCAACACCATTTCATGATAAAACCACTCAACAAACTAGTAATAGAAGGGAAATTCTTCAATATGGTAAAGGGATTTATGTAGAAACCTACAGCTAATATAATAGTGGAGAAAGACTGAAAACTTGCCCCTTAAGCTAAGGAACAAAACAAGGATGCCCACTTTCACCACTGCTCTTCAATATTGTACTAGAAGTCTTAGCCAGAGCAGTTACTCAAGAAAAAGGAATAACAAGTATCCAAATTGGGAAGGAAGAAGTATAAATATCCCTCTTCGCAGATGACATGATCCTATATATAGAAAATCCCAAGGAATCCACAAGAAAACTGCTAAAGCTAATAAATGAATTCAGTAAAGTGGCAGGATACAAGGTCAAAAACTGGTTGGGTATCTATACACCAGCAATGAGCAATCTGAAAAGGAAATTAAGAAAGCAATTCAATTTATAGTAGCATCTAAAAGTATAAAATACCTAGAAATAAATTTAACCAGGGAAGTGAAAGACTTGCTGAAATTATAAAACATTAAACTGAAAGGAGACCTAAATAAATGGAAAGACATTTCATGTTCATGGAATTGTTAAGGTGTCAGTAATACCAAAAGTGATCTATAGTTTCAGTGCAATCTCTATCAAAATTCTAACAGCCTTCTTTGTAGAAATGGAAAAGCTAACCTCAAGTTTATATAGAATTGCAAGGGGCCTTGAATAGCCAAAGCAATCTTGAAAAACAACAAAGTAAGAGGACTCATATTTCCCAATTTCAAAACACACTATAAAGCTACAGTAATCAGCAGTCTGGCACTGTTATAAGGATAGACATATAGGCCAATGGAATAGAATTGAGATTCCAGAAATAAACTGATTTGTGACATGGGTGCCAAGTCTGTTGGGGAAAGAATAATCTCTTCAATAAATGGTGCTGTGGCAACTGGATCTCCACATCCAGAATGAAAAAAAAGAATGAAGTTGTACCCATACCTCACCTTATGTACAAGAATTGATTCAGAATGGATTCATGACCTAAGTATAAGAACTAAAACCTTAAGACTCAAAAGCAGGGATACTGCTTCAGGACCTACTTTTCAACAGTGGATTCTTAGATATGACACCAAAAACATGAGCAATGCAAGGCAGAATACATAAATTGAACTTCATCAAAATTAAAAACTTTTGTACATTAGAGGACTTTATCAACAAAGTGAAGAGACAACCTACAGAATGGGATGAACTATTTGAGAACTGTAAATCTAATAAGGGTTTAATATCCAGAATGTATAGAGAACTCCTGCAACTCAACAAGTAAAAGACAACCAACATAGTCAAAAAATGGGCAAAGAACTTGGACAGACATTTCTCCAAAGAAGATACGAAAATGATCCATAAGCACATAAAGAGATGATCAGTGTCATTCATCGTTATTGGAAATGCAAATCAAAGCCACAATGAGATACCACTTCACCCCCACTAAACCAAAACCAAACCAAACCAAACTCATTGCCATTGAGTCAGTTCTGACTCATAGCAACCCTGTAGGACAGAGTGGAACTACCCCATAGGGATTCCAAGGAGCGGCTGGTGGAGTTGAACTGCCATCCTTTTTGTTAGCAGCTGAGCTCTGAACCATTGTGCCACCAAGGCTCCAACTAGGAAGGCTATTATTAGAAAAACAGAAAATAACAAATGTTGATGAGGATGTGGAGAAATTGGAACCCACATCCATTGATAGGGTTGGAAAATGGTGCAGTCGTTTCCGAAAGCAGTTCCTCAAAAAGTTATTACCCTATGACCCAGCAATTGCACTCCTAGGTATATCCCTAAAAGACTTGAAAGCAGGACTCAAACGTACACTTGTACAACAGTGTTAATTTCAGCATTATTCACAGCCAAAGGTAGAAACAACCCAGGTGTCCGTCAACAGATGAATGGAGAAGCAAAACGTGGTATATCCATACAATGGAATATTCAGGTAGGAGTTGTAATCAACTCGACAGCAACAGATTTTTTTGGTTTTACAAAGAGAAATGAAGTTTTGATGCATGGATGCACTTCAGAAACATTATGTGGAGTGAAGTAAGTCAGATACAAAAGGACAAATGTATGATCTCCCTTACATGAAATATTTAGAAAAGGCAAATGCATAGAGACCAAAATTTTTTAGTGATTATCAGGGGTGTGCGGGAGGGGGAATGGGGAGTTAATGCTTAGAGGAT